TACTCGGGAGGCTGAGGCAGGAGAATTGCTTGAACCCAGGAGGCAGAGATTGCAGTGAGCCGAGATTGTGCCATTGTACTCCAGCCTGGTGTCTGCCAACAGAGCAAGACTCTGTCTCAAAAAAAAAAAAAAAAAAAAAAAAAGAGTCTAGTCTTCACCAAGGTCAAGGTTCTAAGGCTAGAAAAGACCTAAATATAGCACCTGTGGCTGCTCAGTATATATCATCACATGCAAATAGCTCTTGATAATGTTTATGGTGCTACATGAGACTTGAAAGCTGAGGTTTTCTTTAATCTTTGAGAGCTGCCCTGAATCTGCTACTGGCTTAAATGCTATTTGCTACCCTCCCTTGTCCCCACCTTTTCTTTAGCCTATAAGTCTCATATGACTGGATAATGGGGCCCTTCTCCATATCTACTAATCTTTTAATGGAGGTACCTTGAGAACACTCATGCAACCAAAATTAACCTCAAGTTCAATATGAATTGAATAAGAAGAGAATTATAAAATCTTTTTTTACTAATATACATATTGTCCCTATTTTGATGCCCCTGAGAGCTATGTATAACTTCTGGTTTAAACTTAATAAAACTCCACACCAGGCCAGGCATGGTGGCTCATGCCTGTAATCTTAGCACTTTGGAAGGCCAAGGCAAGTAGATCACCTGAGGTCAGGAGTTTGAGACCAGCTTGGCCAACAGGGTGAAACCCCAATGCTACTAAAAACACAAAAATTAGCTGGGCGTGGCCAGGTGTGGTGGCTTATGCCTGTAATCCCAGCACTTTGGGAGGCCAAGGTGGGCAGATCACTTGAGGTCAGTTTGAGACCAGCCTGGGCAATACAGTAAACCCTGTCTCTACCAAAAAATACAAAAATAAGCTGGGCATGGTGGCACATGCCTGTAATCCCAGCTACTTGGGAGACTGATGTAGGAGAATTGCTTGAACCGAGGAGGCAGAGGTTTCAGTGAGCCAAGATTGTAACCCTGCACTCCAGCCTGGGCAACAGAGTGACATTCTGTCTCAAAAAGAAAAGGAAAAAAAAATCCACAGCGGAAAAAGCGACTGGTCACTGTTTGGAATATAGTGATACCTATCGTAACTTAGTTTTTAAAATCCTCTTTCCTAAAGTAGCACACCTAGCATATACTTCTTTTTAAAAATCAAGAGAATTGGCCGACCCGGTGGCTCAAGCCTATAATCCCAGCACTGTGGGAGGCTGAGGCGGGTGGATCACTAGGTTAAGAGATCAAGATCAGCCTGGCCAACATGGTGAAACCCCATCTTTACTAAAAATACAAAAAACTGCTGGGCGTGGTGGCCTGTGCCTGTAGTCCCAGCTACTTGGGAGGCTGAGGCAGGAGAATCACATGAACCTGGGAGGTGGAGGTTGCAGTAAGCTGAGACGTGCCACGGCACTCCAGCCTAGGTGACAGAGTGAGACTCCATCTCAAAAAAATAAAAATAAAGTGAATTAAAATTGATTTCATTTTGGAATTCTGTGATGTCACTTCAGGATATTCCAAGCCAGGGGTGAAGCTGTGCCAATTCCTGGCTCTGCACCAGGAACACAGAGGTGAGTAAGACTCAGGCCTGCCCTCGGGGAGCTCCTACTCTGCCTACCGGCATAAGAGCACACATAGTGAATTATCGTGTGACATAATAACGAATGAATAAGGCCAGGCGTAGTGGCTCACACCTGTAATCCCAGCACTTTGGGAGGCTGAGGTGGGAAGATCATGAGATCAGGAGTTTGAGACCAGCCTGACCAACATGGTGAAACTCTTTTCTCTACTAAAAATACAAAAATTAGCCACATGTGTGGCACGTACCTGTAATCCCAGCTACCCAGGAGGCTGAGGCAGGAGAATCACTTGAACCCGAGAGGCAAAAGTTGCAATGAGCCGAGATCATGCCACTGCACTCCAGCCTGGGTGACAGAGGGGGACTCCATCTCAAAAAAAAAAATCCGAATGAATAAGATGAACAAAATGCTCTGACTAGACTTAGAAGGCTCCAAAGGGAGAAGTGTCATTTGAGCCAGGCCTTGAAGGGTGGATAAAAGTTTGAAAGGGCTACATCTGCGTAGTATGGGTAAAAAATAGAAGTTTGAAAGGTAGAGAAGAAAGGAACATGATCACCCCAGGCTATAGGAACAACAGCACGGGCAAAAGTAAAACAGCAAAAGTGTGTGCCACACCTTTCCACTAGGATCAGGAATTAAGAAAGGAGCTCGCAAACTCCACTGCTACACAGCATTGTACCAGAGGCTATTAGCTAATGCAGTTGAAGAGATCAATTGAAAGCATTAAAGAATAAAAGTTTCTATACAAAATGTAGATAGTATGCCTAGAAAACCTGAAAGAATCAACAATAAATATAATGGAAATAATAACATAATTCGAAGTAGCAGGATATAAAACTAACACAAAAAAAGAGTCTTCACATACACAATAGGCAGTCAGAAAATAATGGTAGAGAAAACCTCATGTACAGTAGCAACAGAGAAGATTATTTAGGAATAAACTTAGTAATAAATATACCAGCTGGGCACAGTGGCTCACACTTGTAATCCCAGCACTTTGGGAGCCCAAGGCAGGAGGATTACTTGAACCCAGGAGTTGGAGACTAGCCTGGACAACATGGCAAAATCCTGTCTTTGCAAAAAAAATACAAAAAATACAAAAAATTAGCTTGATGTGGTGGTATGTACCTGTAGTCCCATCTACTTGGGAGGGTAAGGTAGGAGGATCGCTTGAGCCTGAGAAGTGGAGGCTGCAGTGGGCTGAGATCACACCAGTGCACTCCAGCCTGGATGACAGAGCAAAAGCCTGTCTCAGAAAATAAATAAATAAATAAGATAAAAAAGTAAATGGATAAAACCTATCTATACAGAAGGAACGTTAAAACACTCGTGAAAGACAAAAGTAGACTTAAACAAATGGAAATATATTGCCTGTTTCTCGACAGAATGAAAATGTCAGTTTTCCCCAAGTTAACAAATTTAAGAAAATCTGACTAATTTTGTTTGTTTTGAGACAGAGTCTCGATCTGTTGCCCAGGCTGTAGTGCAATGGCGCGATCTCGGCTCACTGCAACCTCCGCCTGCCAGGTTCAAGTGATCTTCCTGTCTCGAACTCCCAGGTAGCTGGGATTATAGACACTTACCACCATGCCTGGATAATTTTTGTATTTTGTATTTTCCATAGAGTTGGGGTTTCACCATGTTGGCTAGGCTGGTCTTGAACTCCTCAAGTGATCCATCTGCCTCACCTCCCAAAGTGCTGGGATTATAGGTGTGAGCCACGGTACCTGGTCTGAAAATCTGAATAAATTTTTTATGGAAATAGATAACTTGATATTAAAGTTCAAATTTAAAATAATTCTTCTGATTGTGGTTTTGAAGAAAAAAAAAATTAAAATAAACCTGGCTGGATGTAGTGACTCACACCTGTAACCCCAGCACTTTGGGAGGCTGAGGCAGACAGATCACCTGAGGTCAGGAGTTCACAACCAGCCTGGCCAACATGGTGAAACCCATCTCTACTAAAAATGCAAAAATTAACTGGGCATGGTGGCATGTGCCTATAATCCCTGCTACCCAGGAGTCTGAGACAGGAAAATCGCTTGAACCCAGGAGGCGGTGGTTGCGGTGAACCAACATTGCACCACTGCACTTCAGCCTGGGCAACAGAGTGAGACTCTGTCTCAAATAAATAAATAAAACTTCAAGAATAGCCAGGAAAACACTGCCACAAAGACTAACCATACCAAACAGTAAAACATACTCTGAAGCCTATGTAAAGTGTGATTGAAACACATGAAGAGATGAATCAGCAGAACAGAAAATAAAATCCACAAGCAGACTCAAAAATACAAAAAGAAATTTAATATATGATAAACAGGACCTTCAAATCACTAAGGCAAAGGCAGACTTTATAGTATTGGTTCTGAGATAGCTGGGAAGCCATTTTGAAAAAGATACAATTAGATCTGTACTTTATGCCATGCACAGAAGAGAAAATCCAAATGGCTCAGGATGCAAATATGAAAAAATGAAATCACACAAGTTCTAGAAGAAAACATGGGCAAATTCCTCTTTTAACTCCAGGTAGGGAAAAGCTTGCTTTCTAATTACTGACTCAAAAGTTCACTGACATTTTTTTTTTTTTTTTTTTTCAGATGGAGTTTCACTCTTATTGCCCAGGCTGGAGTGCAATGGCAATCTCAGCTCATTGCAACCTCTGCCTCCTAGGTTAAAGCAATTCTCCTGCCTCAGCTTCCTGAGTAGCTGGGATTACAGGGGCCCACCACCATGCCTGGCTAATTTTTTGTATTTTTTGTAAAGACAGAGTTTCACCATGCTGGCCAGGCTGGTCTTGAACTCCCGACCGATTCAGCCACCTCAGCCTCCTAAAGTGCTGGGATTACAGGCATGAGCCACCATGCCCAGCCTGACAATTTTTAAACAGTATAAATTGGACTACATGAAATTAAAAATTTGAAGAAATAAAGAAATGAAAATATTTTGCATGGCAAAAAAAAAAAAAAACACCTTAAAACACAACTGACAAAATGGGAGAAAGCATCTGCACCATTTATCACAGATACATGGCTAGTATTCCTATCTATATAAAGAATGCTTATAAAAACTCAATAGAAAAATGGAAAGAGACATGAATAAACAATTAACAAAAGTTATAAAATGCTCTTTAAACACATAAGAAGATGTTCAACCTCACAATTATAGAAATGCAAATTAAAACTGTACTGAGATAATCATTTCACAACTATCAGTTTGGCCAAAAAAAAAAAAAAATTAAAGTTTGACAACATATGCTGCTTGCCAGGCTGTGGGGAAATGGGTACTCCACTACTGCAGGGAATGCAAACTGGCATAACTGGAGAGGAATCTGGCAGAGCCTCACAAAACTACATCTGCACTTACCTTGTGAACCAATGGCCCCACTTTTAGGCATTTACCTTGAAAATATACTTCCAGCTTTGCGCAGTGGCAGTATCGTAGCCAATGAGGTTTATCCAAGGCACGATTATTGCTAATTGAAAACTTTTCCCAATACCCCGCCATGACAACTTGAAATATAGTTGGCATTGGCAATTTTTGACAGTCTCTGCGGAGACTGAAGAAAAAAAGAAAAAAAAATACACTTCTGACGATATGAAAATATACGTGTAAAAGGTTATTCATTGCAGCTTTCTTTGTAAGTGTAAATAAAATACTGGTGGGGAACCTAAATGCCCAGATATGGAAGAATGGTTCAGTTAACTATGGTATAGTCATACGTGAAATACAACACAGCTGTTGGGGAAAAAAAGAACTCAGGATGGAGTGATTTCTAGTATATGCTCTCAGGTGCAAAAAGCAAAGTAGAAAATTGAATTTACAGTGTAAGACAAAAGAAATAAGAAAATTTATATGTATCTGCTCATGTGTGCAAAAAGAAACACAGAAATGATAAATAAGAAACTAGGGCAGGCATGGTGACTCATGCCTATAATCCTAGCTAGCACTTTGGGAGGCTGAGGTAGATGGATCACTTGAGATAAAGAGCTCAAGACCAGCCTGGCCAAAATGGTGAAGCCCCTGTATCTACAAAAATTACAAAAATTAGCTGGGCATGGTAGTGCATAATTGTAATCCTAGCTACTCGGGAGGCTGAGGCACAAGAATCACTTGAACCAGCGAGGCAGATGTTGCAGTGAGCCAAGATTGCACCACTGCTCTCCAGCCTGGGTAACAGAGCTGAGACGCCATCTCAAAAAAAAAGAAAAAAGAAAAGAAACTAATGAGATTTATTCTCTATAAGGGGCTGTGCACAGAGTAGAAAAGAGACAGTGAGACTGCCCTGCCCTGCATATAGCTTTTTCTTTTTTTCTTTGAACGGTGTTTCGCTCTTGTTGCCCAGGCTAGAGTGCAATGGTGCAATCTTGGCTCACCACAACCTCTGCCTCCCAGGTTCAAGCAATTCTCCTGCCTCAGCCTCCCAAGTAGCTGGGATTACAGACATGCATCACCACGACTGGCTAATTTTTGTGTTTTTAGTAAAGATGGGATTTCTCCATGTTGGTCAGGCTGGTCTTGAATTCACAATCTCAGGCGATCTGCCTGCCTTGGCCTCCCAAAGTGCTGGGATTACAGGAGTGAGCTACCGCACCCAGCCTCCTGCGTATAACTTTTTGTATAGTTCTGATTTTTAGGACCATATTAATGATTCACGACTCAAAGCAGCAAATAAATAAAATCAACAAGGGTTTGGAGTGAACCAAAATGGAAGACAAACAAACAAATGAAGCTAACTATATTACAAATGATTCAAGTCACCATACTGAAACCTGAGTGGGGGAAGAAAAGAACTAAGCTAAGTAACTTTGAAAAACAGTATTTTGAATACTTTAAGACTAAAGACAAAAATGTTCACAAATATTGTACTTCTAGTTAGTTGATTTGTTTTTCAAAGAAGTATGAGTTAGAACTTCTGAAATTATGCATTCTGGGATTTACAGTAAGTTAATATATAGTGGGTAAGAGATAAGTTTCTCATTGTCAAAGAGTTTCAGATAAGGAAAGGGGGAGATTAGCATGAACCCTACGGGGCTGGAATAGAAACGGAGGAATCAATATGAATGCATAGGTTTTAATGCATGTATATAAATAGATATAAAAACAGATCAATATATGTATACATGTTAATGCATACATAAAATTCCTAACTCTGCCTGCTGAGAGGGCCCAAAAGCAATGAAACCCTCATACAAAAGAGCACACCTAGCACCCAGAAGTTGGTCTCTATATTCCATCTCCAACAAAAGGAACCAGGTCTTCTGGGAGAAACAGTTGATTCCAGAGCTGGGGCAGGGGAAGTACAAGATAAGCCCAGAATACCTGAAGGTGCCAAAACAGTAAGGAAGCGCTCAAAAAATGTGGGAGACATGTCAAAGGGACACAGGCCCAACCTGAAGAGGCTCCCAGTGGCCAAATATGGTGCAGTTCGAACAATAAAATAAGAAATGATAGTAATGGATTATAACCCATAGAATAAAATGAAGATCCAAGAGCACACAGTGATATAAATCACTGAGTAACACACAGGGGAGAAATTAAAGTTCTTTCTCTTTTTTTTTTTTTTTTTTTTTTTCCGAGACGGAGTTTCGCTCTTGTTACCCAGGCTGGAGTGCAATGGCGCGATCTTGGCTCACCGCAACCTCCGCCTCCTGGGTTCAGGCAATTCTCCTGCCTCAGCCTCCTGAGTAGCTGGGATTACAGGCACGCACGACCATGCCCAGCTAATTTTTTGTAGTTTCAGTAGAGACGGGGTTTCACCATGTTGACCAGGATGGTCTCGATCTCTTGACCTCGTGATCCACCCGCCTCGGCCTCCCAAAGTGCTGGGATTACAGGCTTGAGCCACCGCGCCCGGCTTAAAGTTCTTTCTTAAAGTGGGTCTTCATCTAATAAATGTGCTAAAAAAAATAGAAAAATCACCAGTTTGTAAATATCACAGTAATAACTTTCTGGCAAATAAGCATCAATAGATGCTTAAAAAATAAATCAGGCCAGGCGCAGTGGCTCACACCTGTAATCCCAGCACTTTGGGAGGCTGAGGCAGGTGGATCACGAGGTCAGGAGTTCGAGACCAGCCTGACCAACATGGTGAAACCCTGTCCCTACTAAAAATACAAAAGTTAGTTGGGCATGGTGGTGTGTGCCTGTAATCCCAGCTACTCAGGAGGCTGAGTCAGAAGAATCGCTTGAACCCGAGAAGCAGAGGTTTGGTAAGCTAAGATTGAGCCACTGCACTCCAGTCTGGGCAACAGAGTGAGACTCTGTCTCAAAAAAAAAAAAAAAAAAAGCAGGCCGGGGGCAGTGGTTTATGCCTGTAATCCCAGCACTTTGGGAGGCCATGGCAGGTGGATCATGAGGTCAGGAGTTCAAGACCAGCCTGGCCAAGATGGTGAAACCCTGTCTCCACTAAAAACTATAAAAATTAGCTGGGTGCAGTGGCAAGCACCTGTAATCCGAGCTACTCTGGCAGCAGAGGCAGGAGAATTGCATGAACCCAGTTGGCAGGAGTTGCAGAGATCATGTCACTGCACTCCAGGCTGGGTGACAGAGTGAGACTCCGACTGGGGGGGGCGGAATGTATGATGAAAAACAGAATATTTACATAGTATCAAAGTATCTCTCCCTGAAATACTTACTAGTTCATAAAAGAAAAACAGTAACTTTATAGTAGAGAGCTGGCAGACACCGCATTGACCATATGAGAAATTACCACCACCAATAAGGAGAAAAATCAACCTATTGCTCCAGATATGATGTCCAAAGAGAACCCAACATTACTATTCTGTTGAATTCTCATTAATATTCTGTTGAAATACACAGTTTAAATTTAATCATGAGAAAAAATAAGAAAAACCCAAAGTTAGGACATTCTACTAAAATGGCAAGGTAAAGAAAGACAGCAGGCTGGGCACGGTGGCTCACATCTGTAATCCCAGCAGTTTGGGAGGCCAAGGACAGTGGATCACCTCAGGTCAGGAGTTCAAGACCAGCCTGGCCAACATGGTGAAACCCCATCTCTACTAAAAATACAAGAATTTGCTGAGTGTGGTGGCATGCGCCTGTAATCCCAGATACTCAGGAGGCTGAGGCATGAGAATCGCTTGAACCCAGGAGGCAGAGGTTGTAGTGAGCCAAGATCGCACCACTGTACTCCAGCTTGGGTGAAAGAGAAAAACTCTGTCTAAAAAAAAAAAAAAAAAAAAAAAAAACAAAGGATAAGACAAGGCAAGACTTAGAAAATGTTCCAGATTAAAGGAGCCTCTGCTGCTAACCTAAGATGTTAACATTTGAGGTATCTGGCTACTATGGGAATTCTTTGTACTATTTTCACAAGTGAGTCTGATTTAAATTTTTTTTTTTTTTTTTTTTTTGAAGACGGGTTTTTGCTTTTTTTACCCAGGCTGGGGGGCAATGGCGGGATCTCGGCTCACCGCAACCCCCGCCTCCTGGGTTCAGGCAATTCTCCTGCCTCAGCCTCCTGAGTAGCTGGGATTACAGGCACACACCACCATGCCCAGCTGATTTTTTGTATTTTTAGTAGAGACGGGGTTTCACCATGTTGACCAGGATGGTCTCGATCTCTTGACCTCGTGATCCACCCGCCTCGGCCTCCCAAAGTGCTGGGATTACAGGCGTGAGCCACCGCGCCCGGCCCCTGATTTACATTTTTTTAATTAAAATTTAATGTTCATGTAAATATATTTTTAATAAAAAAAGGTAGGTGGGCTCGGGGGCTCATGCCTATAATTCCAATACTTTGGGAGGCCAAGGCAGGCCTACTGTTTGAGCCCAGGAGTTCAGAGATCAGCCTGACAACATGGTGAAACCCCATCTGTACTAAAATTACACAAAAAAATTAGCTAGGTGTGATGGCACATGCCTGTAGTTCCAGCTACTTGGGAGGCTGAGGTGGAAAGATGGCTTGAGCCTGGAAGGCAGGGGTTGCAGTGACCCGAGACTGTACCACTACACTCTACCTGGGTGACAGAGACCCTGTGTAAAAAAATAATAAAAGAAGAAGAGACCAGTCTGGCCAACATGGTGAAACCCCATCTCTACTTAAAATACAAAAATTAGCCAGGTATGGTGGCAGGAGCCTGTAATCGCAGCTACTCAGGAGGCTGAGGCAGGAGAATTGCTGAACCTGGGAGGCAGAGGTTGCAGTGAGCCAAGATTGTGCTATTGCACTCTAGCCTGGGCAACAAGAGTGAAACACCATCCCCAAAAAAAAATTAAAAAGGAGGAAAAAGGAAGTCTTAAAGGCAGAAAAATATTTGATGTGATTCTCTTACTTACTTGTATTTTCTGACTTTTGTTCAATGAAATGATCATTGTACTGTCATATCAAATATTAAATGTGGAGGCCAGGCACAGTGGCTCATGCCTGTAATCCCAGCACTTTGGGAGGCTGAGGCGGATGAATTACTTGAGACCTCAAGTAAGTTTGAGACCAGCCTGACCAACATGGTGAAACCCTGTCTCTACCAATAATACAAAAATTAGCCTGATATGGTGGCATGAACCTATAATCCCAGCTACTTGGGAGGCTGAGATAGG